GCATTATGTTGAATTATATTTTATTTTTATATTATACTATAGGCAAACATACAATACTCCGTAAAATAAGTTAGAAAAGAACAGATATATATATATATATGTGTGTCCTTTTCTATCTCAAGCCTCTTGTTCCCGAAAGACTTTCGCGAAGTTATTGTGCATTGACCTTTAGTTTACTATATGACGCAGTGAGTTGTAAATGGTAGAAAATTACACGCACCATCAGCGCCGCCAACTGGCTCTAACGCGAAATGTCTAATGGCAAATCAGTACAATTGTATGTCAAAAATCAATGTCAACAGTGTCGGTATGTTTTGTTTAAAATAAATTTTTTTTTGTTATTTTCGTGTTTAGTGAATTTTAGCTGGAATGTATTCTATCGGTTGTTAATTTTACAAATGGAAAGTGCATTCTATCTTTTTATTTCGGAGAAAATAGATAATTTGATGTTGTGGAAAACTCCTCATATTTGTAATATTAATAAAATATTTTGTTCATCAATATGATGCAAAAAAATGTCTTAGCTGGTGTATTTTTTCCTAAATATCAATTATCCAAAAGGACAAAACATTCTGATTTTTGGTTTTCAAGTAAGTTGCTAAAAAAATTTCCCAATATTTTTGTTCTTTTTGACATGGCTCTGCCTCACTTGGACCTGCCCTTAAAGAAAGACTGAAAAATACCATGCCTAGTAGGTAGGCAACCTCTGCCGAGTATAGTATAGTATATTACAAATATTATATAAAAACATGTCTTTCACTAAAAAAAAATAACAAAATTTATTTTTAATTTTGAAAATTTTATTTCCTTTAAGATTATCGTCTGCTGATTACAAATTTGAAGCACGTTTTCAAAAATTCAAAATGGCGGATCCATTATGGCGGACAACAATTTTAAAAATCAATCCAATTTACTTGAAAATCGTTACTCGGGGGTTATTGGGGTCACTGATTATGAATCTGGTATCAGTTTTAAAAAATTCAAAATGGCGGATCCAATATATCCAATAAAGGCTAGATGTAATGCCAAATCCATAAATGTCAGTTCACCTTCAGATTTGTGTTCACCGACCTCGAAAACCTCCAAGTAACGATTTTCAAGCCAATTAAATAGATTTAAAAGATAGTCGTCCGAAATATTGAATCCGCTATTTTGAATTATTTAAAAATGGACTTTAGATTTGTAATCAACGACCCCAAAAACCCCCGAGTAACGATTTTCAAGAAAATTGGATTGATTTTTAAAATTGTCGTCCGCCATATTGAATTATTTGTTCTATCGATGCAGAAGTACGCAACGTTTATGATAAACAATTTTTAAAGAAATAATTTTTAAAAATGAAAAATTCTATAATTTTTTGCCTAAAAAATATTTTTTTTAAATAAAGTATTTTATAATTTTCCATGTTAAATAAAAATTGATTTCTAATTGTTAATCATAAACGTTGCGCACATTTTTAACATATTTCAGGAACCACAAAACATTTAAGTTTCAAAAAAGCTAATTAAACCTGAGATCTTAAAGATTATGTTGTCAAACCTTTCCACTGCTATAGCTGCTACAAAAAGGAAAAAAGTTGTCTGCACTAACACAGAAAATTAAAAGGCATTAAAATAAGCTGCAACGCTTCTTATTTTAATCCAATTTTGCTTATTTTAATCCATTTTGGTATTAAAATAAGCAAAATTGGATTAAAATAAGAAGCGTTGCAGCTTATTTTAATGCCTTTTAATTTTCTGTGAATTTGTTTCTGAACCTTAAAAATATAAAGTGTTATTTTCTAAATTAATGAATTTTCTTTATTTTTGATTTGGTTTTATTATTGAACGAAATGTCAACATTGAGAATTGAGTTGCGTGGAAAAGGAATATATTTCACGTGTTGTGTATATTGGATGTAGAATACCTTACCATCCAAGTTGTGCCTCACAAAATGTCTACCCTTTATGATAGCTCGTTCATTCGATGTTGTAAGTTGTAAATCAAGATCCCTCTTGCCTTCGTCTATATATATATCGCTTTAGCTGATTTGGATTCTGTCATGAAAGCTATCCAAAACCTAAACATTTCTATGTCAAGTGGATTCGATAATATAAACTCGAAACTTGATTGATGCTGACAAGTATAATATCTCTGCGATGCTGTTTGAATTTACTGAGAATGAAAATCTTCTATAACTGCGCCCGTGCAGAAATTATGGTCTGGGCCTCTCAAGGCCCTTCCCAGAGTACGCTTGGATTCTGGCAAGAGCCTGACGTGGCAAACTGGCAAGGCCCTAGTAATGGCTTGAGACGGTTTTGCAAGGATTTGCTTTACTTAGGGATGAACTTGCCAGGGCCATGAGAGTTTTCCTGGGAATTACTCTATATTTTGTGACAAAAATAAGCAATCAGTGAAAAATGTACTACAGGCTTATAATCAATTGTAATGAGTAATTGATTGAATCAGTAAGCAACAAAAACTTGTAACAAAACAAAAACAGAAGAATGCACAATTCTAGTCTGACAAATAATAATCCCAAAGTCGACCCAACTTCAAATATATTATATGTACCAACACTAAACAAAAAAATTAAATATGGAATTAATTATACAATTACAGGCTTCAAAGTGACACACTTTTCCACTTTTTTGACACTTTTTTTGGTCAGGGCTACTTTTTGATACTAATTTGGGCAAAAAGCTACTAAATGCTACTTTTTTCCAAAAAAAAAGGTAAAAAGAAATTGACAGAATTCAAGAATTTTAGTTTTTTTAAAATGAATTTTGTTGATTTCAAAAAGCCTGCCAATTAATGAAATTTATTATTGAACACGTGAACTGCACTTTATATGATTAGATGACAACTTCTCGCAGCTTGATTGATATAGTCATAAATGGCCAGCCATAACCTGTAATTAATGCTTTTATTCTTTTTGTCAATGCATAATTTATGAATTATACCGGATTTATACAAATATAATAATAATTGTTATAATTAATTACTATTATAATTTATTACTAATAGTGCATGATTAGTAATTACTAATAATCAAAGTTGATATGTAACAAAAAGTGAATCGAAATGTAACAATTGATAGTTTTTTTAAAAAATAATCAGGTGAAAGAAGTTGTTACTTTTACTCCTCAAAATGATGATCGCGTTATTAAAAAACAAATTGTTATGAAAGATCTTCTATAAGTATTATTTAACAATTACCTTTTATTATATGCAAAATGTTATGAATAAGTGCGTTTCCATTATTAATAAATAAATTATTTTAATTAATTAAATTAATTAATTGTTATTTAAATAATTAAAAATTCATAAATATTATTATTAAATAATTATTACTTGATAAAATATTTTGCATGGAAATTTAATTTTATTATAGTTTTATTTGGTGTTAAAAATTACTTTTTATTTTGAGGTTATGTCATAAAACCATGGCAAGACCAAGTTGCTCTAAGGAATGCCATACTTGTGGACAAACTGGCAAGGGCCTTTCCACTGCCTTGATATGTAGTTTTCTAGGTTATATTGCAAACATGACATAACCAAGTAACTGTCGTTTAATCTGGGAAATTCCAGACTTGTGGAAAAACTGGCAAGGGCCATTAGAGAGCCTTACTTAAAGTAGAACTAAGTAGGGAAATTTCTTCCACTTAACATCCCTGGACCATTCCTACCTATACGCACCCTAAAGGTTACCACTAACTTATTATCATTTGATATTTATTAAGTTCAAGTGAAGAGAAAATATCCGTCACTTGTATATTTCAACAAAAAATTAAATCATGATTTTTGTATCACATTGTTATTTTAATAATTTTAAAATGGTTGCAAAATTCTGGAGATATTTGTGAATTGAAATTTTGGAACTGCGCAGAATCAACAGCCAAAGTTTGATAGCTAATAAAAAAAACCGTAAATAACGTATGTGCAACGAAGAAGAGGAAACTGACAATTTTGAAAAACGTTTGTGGCTGCCAAGAAAAATCTAATTCTCTATATAGCACAATCTGATGTAGTGGTTTGACTATCGATCGGTAAAAGATGCAGCTAAAAGAGTTAACAATTTTGACCAGTAGTCAATATAATTTAAAAATTTAGAATTTGCATGTTTTTTAATTTCGTATACATTTATTTTAAATTCTCAATTCAAAAAATTGCACTTTGGATTCAAAAGTGAAAAAATTAAAAAAAAGGCCTATTTTTTTCTCTACTCATTAGCTAAGTTTATGTGAACAAAGCCTCGTAAACTGAAAATCTATTTATTCAAATGAATTCGCTACTATAGAAGTTCATCCCGGTGTAATACCAATGAACCCTAGAGGGGATTTTGAAGAGCGAGTATCTTAAATGAATTTCCAGGCTAAGTTTGAAATAAGTTACGCTCTGCATATTACAAATTATAATTTACTATAATACATTTTAAAGGGATTCATTTTCAAATCCTTTTCGGGGACTAAAATGCTTTACTATTCTAATAGGTGGTATTAAAATTTTGTCACATCAAGAGTCTATATAACTGAAATTATAATTTATTTCCTCATATTTGAGATATATTAAAAAAATTTTGAAATTAAAATTCATATTTAGAAAATAAATTATAAATTTGTAAAAAAAAATAATTAATTTTACATTTAAATTTCAAATAATATTTCAAAAAAAAATATTGAATATACAATACAAACAAAAATGTGCAAAATTTATTATTATTAAATGATAAACTTATTTTTTAATCAATTTCAATCGTGACGTAAATCTATTTTTTAATATTTATAATATGAAAAAAAAAATTATTGTTTTCTCAATTTTTCCTTATCAACACTTATGATTTTGGAATATTTTAATTATTTGAGAAAAATAATTCATTTTTTTTTATTTGACATGAAAATAATTCCAGTTCTGTAAATAAAAAAATGATTATATTTAATTTTTTTTTTTTTTGGTAAACGAATTTAACTAGTTTTACAAGGTCATATTTAAAAATTTTTTAGAACATGCGCCTATACATATATAAATGTGGGAAGTTTATCAAATTTTCATAAATTTTTTTTCTCGCACTAACGTTACATATCTGTATACAAGTTTGTAAACATTGATTCTGTAAAAAAAAAAAAAATTTCAAAAACATGAAATACTTGAAAGTAGTTCTATTAGTTGTTATCGTTATTAGTAAGTATATTTAAATTATATAAATTTTTTACATTATTAGAAATGGAGAGAACTAAGGAAAATTATTGAAAAACGTGATTGTAATGATACTGCATAATTACTAAATATTTTTCGCACATTTTCTCTTTGAAAAAACTAATAGTAATAATAATAATAATAATAATAATAATAATAAAATAATTACTTTTATCATTTGCAGGCTATGCTTCATTTACGACAGCTGAGAAAAAACCATTCAAAAATATAACGCTTAATGAATTGCAGTTATTATGCACAGAAAATAATAACGATTATAAATTATTAACTGAAGCACAGAATTTAGCAACAAAACTTTTCTTTGACTCTACTGAAAATTGTACAGATTTTAATCATCAAAACATGATTAAAGATTTAGTTCATGAAGTAACTTCTGCATGTTTTAAGGTAGAAAATATGCCAAATAAAACTGAATTAGAAACAATTTATCAAGATATTACAACAAAATTATGCTCTCACTATGAACTTGGTAATTATGTCTAAAATGTTTTTTTTTTTAAAAAGTATTAAGTACTTGACTACTATTAAATAAATATATTTATTAGTAGTCAAATAACCGATTATAAAAAAAAAAATAAAAAAAAACTTTTATAAAAAATTGTATTATAATAAAAAATAAATATATTTATTTTTATTAAATAATTATTATTTGAGTTAATTAAATGGTATTTGTTTCAAATACATAAAAATTATTTGACCAAATAAAATTTCTTTAATTCAAAAAAAATTATTTAAAATAAATTAATAAATTATGATAACAGATTATTTGAATTAAAAAAAAAAACTAATAAATTTTAAAGGGATAATGAAAAATCATGAAATTTTTGCATTATGGCAAATTAATGAAATATAAATTTTTGCAGTCAACTTTAGAATCGCCAATAAGGAATGCATTTCAATAGAAAACAATTTCTCTGACTGTTTAAATGAAAATTTACAATATATAAAAACTGATCCTGATGATTTATTCTTTGCACTGGCAATGACTCATGAAAATGAAGAATGCACGTAAGTTATATATATATATATATATTATTTATCAATAATTGTACGTTTTTTTATTCATAAAATAATAAAAAAAACCGTTTTGACGCTAAAACATGTAGTAAAGCATCCCTCGATAATAAATATTAAAAAATAAGAATAAATGTCAGCAATTTAAAAAAAAAAATTTTAAAGGGATCTTTTTTTGGTTAGTTTTAGAACTGTAGCTAGAAACCAAAAAGAAACAGGTAGCTTTTATAAATAAATATATACTATATATATATATTACAATCAATTATTATTTTATTTGCAGCATATATACAATTTTAGTAAACTGTATGTCAAAGGCAATTAATCAAAATTGTGCTTCCATGAATAAAACCTGGAAAGATTTATCAACGAAATTTACACCCATCATGAAGTGTGCCTAACATGTTTCTGTTACGCACTTAAATTTAATGAATATTACATATTACTACCTCATTTGAAAATAATTTTTTAAAATTATTTCATATAAAAAGAAAATTATCCTTTATTGTCAAATAATATAATTATCGGCAAAACTAAAAAAAAACATGTACACTTCGTCAAAGAAAAGTTGAATTTTTAAATTTTATTAATTGCTATAAAAGTTATAGATGAAATATATACATTTAGATCGATCGATGATAAAAAAATGTGGTTCATATATTATTATTTGTTTTTTACGAATATATATCGCACTCTCTATATGGGTGATTCTCCGCGTAGCGCACAACTTGCTTTTTTTCATGTTGTGAAAGAAAAATCACAAATAATGTTCACATATAATATTTCGATTCCAATGTAAAAAGGTAATTTCTGTGATTACAAACAAAAACCAATAGTTACTTTTGTATTTAACATTATAATTTTTCGTTAACGCCAGGTCCAAGTGAGGCAGCGCCATCTACATTGATACTAAAATTTTGGAAAATTTTCAACAGCCTTTTCTTGAAAACAAGATGGTAAAATGCTTTTTCCTTTATGCATAATTGATTATTGGCAAGATAAATACCAGCTAAAACTTTTTTTGAGTTAAAATAATGAAAAAAATTTCATGTCGCTAAATTAAATATGAGCACTTTTTTCACAAAAACTGTAACAGTACTTTCTCAGAAATTACAATCAAAAATGCAATTTCCATTTGGAAAATTAATAAACACTAAAAAATACACCACCTAAGATTTACCAATCACTAAAATAACAAAAAAAAAAAATTTATTAAATATTTAACATATTGATACTGCTTTACTGATTGTGACAACCCTTTGGTAGATTATGTATTTCAGGTGGTTAGCAACAGCGCCAATCTCCTCCTTTCGGCAAAACAGCGAAACGTCTGGTGACATACATAACCTGCCAAACGGCTGTCATAATGAGTAAAATATGTTATGTTAAAAAACTTTTTTTTTGTTATTTTCGTGATTGGTAAATCTTAGGTCGTGTATTTTTTAGCGTTTATTAATTTTCCAAATGGAAATTGCATTTTTGATTGTAATTTCTGAGAAAGTACTGTCACAGCTTTTGTGAAAAAAGTGCTCATATTTAATTTATTGACATGAAATTTTTTTTATTATTTTAACTCAAAAAAAGTTTTAGCTGGTGTATATCTTGCCAATAATCAATTATCCATAAAGGAAAAAGCATTTTACCTTCTTGTTTTCAAGAAAAGGCTGTTGAAAATTTTCCAAAATTTTAGTTTCAATGTAGATGGCGTTGCCTCACTTGGACCTGGCCGTGGTTTTTAAGGCTGAAAACGTCAAAATTTCACCTGTCCCCACAGGATGTTTAAACAAAAAAGTTAATATTTTTATCAATGTGCACTAATAAATACAATTTCTGTTGCTATTTTAGTATTGTATATTGTAGTGGAATTGAATAAAAAAAACGTTTGATCAAAAAAATAATTATTTTCTTTTTTTTTCGCTACCCAATGGGAAACTGCCACGAGTAACCATTGGCGTATTAATTGGCCCAATGATGGGAGCCAATGAAAAAACCATTGGCACCCAATAATGGACCATTATTGGTAAAGTCATGGGCTGTCCACGCCGATGCCAATGATTGGCAACCATCATTGGCAAATTATTGGCAACCAATAATTAGCTAATATTAAAAATTTTAATAATAATTTAAAAAATCAATAATTTAAAAATAAAATTTTTATTTTTATTATTTTTTAATAGTTATTATTATTATTTTATTTTTAATAATTAAATTAAAATAAAAAAATGGTCATCAAAGTATTAGTGAAACCATTTCTTCCAAAAAAGAGTTTGTCTCAAATCCAATTAATAGGAGAGACATCGGGCAGAAAAAAATTTCGACAAGAAAAAAATTTTCGATCACTATATACATATCATTATATACCAATCTAATGGCACCTCAACTGCGAGAAACAGTTATGATGTTCGCCCTCCCTGTGGCGTTGAGCGAACTAAAGTCTAGAGCTGAGCCATCAGCGCAGCGCGGGAACATTTAAAAAAATTGATTTTATTAGATATTTTATTTTATAATAATTAACGAATTATTAAGTATGACATTATGTTATTGGGTCAAACCATTATATTTCAACTAAAGTGGTCGCTGACTAATTTTTAAAAATTATAATACTTTGCAGGAATGATTTTGAAGTTATCAAGATCACGAAATGAAAAGAATTTTATTAAAAATTTAAATATTTATTGTAAAATATGAATTTAAAGTATATGAGGTGCTAAAAACTGTCAATTTTTTAGCCATTAGAAAATATGCAAAAAAACATAGAATTTACCATAAAAATAAAAAAAAATTATTGGAATTTACTAAGAATGAATAAATTTATCATTATCAATTGATATAATTATTTAAAGATGTGAAGTAATATATAAAATATGATTTCCAAGTGCACCTGTCAAATAACCTAATTTTGCGATTTTTATTCATTAATTATAAAAAATAGAAAACATTAAATTAAATAAAAACTTACCAAATATGAAGTTCTTGCCATAAACTTTTAGAATTTCTTTGCACTTTTCTTCTTTTCTATTCATAAGTATGAAAAATTTAAAAAATAAAATAGCTACTTTGTCTATTTTCACTATTTTTGAAAGTCAATAACTTTCTTGGAGAAAAATGAAAAAATATGGGGTTTCGAAAATTATTTAAATACACACTACATATACATTCACTGAAAATTTCGCATTGGTCCCGAAGCTATTTTCGAAGATAAAGTAAATTAAAAATTTCGTATTTTTTAGGCTATATTGACATGGGTTTTAAATCAATGTGAAGGTGGTTCACTGGTGACGACAAACTTCACATTGATTTAATACCTTTAAAACCTATACCTTAAAATATAGCCTAAAAAATACGAAATTTTTAATTTACTTTATCTTCGAAAATAGCTTCGGGACCAATGCGAAATTTTCAGTGAATGTATATGTAGTGTGTATTTAAATAATTTTCGAAACCCCATATTTTTTCATTTTTCTCCAAGAAAGTTATTGACTTTCAAAAATAGTGAAAATAGACAAAGTAGCTATTTTATTTTTTAAATTTTTCATACTTATGAATAGAAAAGAAGAAAAGTGCAAAGAAATTCTAAAAGTTTATGGCAAGAACTTCATATTTGGTAAGTTTTTATTTAATTTAATGTTTTCTATTTTTTATAATTAATGAATAAAAATCGCAAAATTAGGTTATTTGACAGGTGCACTTGGAAATCATATTTTATATATTACTTCACATCTTTAAATAATTATATCAATTGATAATGATAAATTTATTCATTCTTAGTAAATTCCAATAATTTTTTTTTATTTTTATGGTAAATTCTATGTTTTTTTGCATATTTTCTAATGGCTAAAAAATTGACAGTTTTTAGCACCTCATATACTTTAAATTCATATTTTACAATAAATATTTAAATTTTTAATAAAATTCTTTTCATTTCGTGATCTTGATAACTTCAAAATCATTCCTGCAAAGTATTATAATTTTTAAAAATTAGTCAGCGACCACTTTAGTTGAAATATAATGGTTTGACCCTATTAATAATTATTAATGACATTAATTATTTATTAAGTTAATTATTTGTCATATTTAAAATAAAATAAAATATCTAATAAAATCAAATTTTTCAATTTTCAATTTTTCAAATTTTGCGCTGATGGCTCAGCTCTGGACTTTAGTTCACTCAACGCCGCAAAGGGAGGGCGAACATCACTGTTTCTCGCAGTTGAGATGCCACTTGATTGGTATATAAGCAGTGATCTAAAATTTTTTTCTCGTCGAAATTTTTTTCTGCCCGATGTCTCTCCTATTAATTGGATTTGAGACAAACTCTTTTTTGGAAGAAATAGTTTCACTAATACTTTGATGACCATTTTTTTATTTTAATTTAATTATTAAAAATATAATAATAATAATAACTATTAAAAAATAATAAAAATATAAATTTTTTTTTAAATTATTGATTTTTTAAATTATTATTAAAATTTTTAATATTGGATAATTATTGGCTGCCAATAATTTGCCAATGATGGTTGCCAATCATTGGCATCGGCGTGGACAGCCCATGACTTTACCAATAATGGTCCATTATTGGGTGCCATTATTGGAATTATATTGGCATCCCTGGCTCCCATTATTGGGCCATTAATACGCCAATGGTATTTTTCCCATTGGGTATTTATACTTGACTGCACTTTTGTGTGTTATTCTGCGTTTTATTATTAAACATTGAATTATTTAAATAAAAGTCAAATGTTAATATATAGTTCTACTGCAGTAACAGCAAAAGTTATATTCCTTCAGTTGATCCATGAAGGAACACTGAAAAAAATGTTGCCGAGAAATTCAACTACCATTGGGTAGTTGACTAGAAAGTAATTAAAATAACTACTTTTTTAGTTAATCTAATCATGTTGATGTAGTTAATGTAACTATTTTTAAGAAGTTAATAAGTAATAGTTGATTTTACGTAAATATGTAGTTAAAGTACAACTACAGGTCGGTAGTAAAATTAACTTTCTTAAGGTAGTAAAAACAAGTGGAATTGTAGTCAACTCAAAATTTGAAGAGTAGTAAATCCAAGTACTATTCATCAGTTATATGAAATGTAGTAAAAGGAATTATTTTCTTCAATCAATATAAGTGCTTTTTGAGTAGTAAATTTTTTATTAATTTCTATGATTTTATAGGCTTCAATAAAATTCTTGTTGTAGAATTAACAAGTCGTCTGTAATTAAAACTACTACTTTAAGTAGTAGATTTTGGGCACTTATACAACATGTCTGAACGCAGAATTTCAAGAAAAAAAGTTACATGGTTTTTCTTAAAAAAATGACATAAATTTTTAATTAGAGATATCTTAAAAAATTTTGAAAATTTTGAAAAATTGTTTTATGGGCTTTCATTCTGTATACAAATAAAGGGACATATTCACAAGGTTTCAATAAAATTGCTTCAATCATCAAAAATTCTTGTGATCACATCCCATGGAATTGCTCATATTTCGTAATAAAATTAGATAATTAAATTTTATTTTTATCTTAAACAAATATTAAAAATATTTATTTATAGTTTATGGGGAACACGTAAATTTCTGTATTTCTTACGTAATATGAAATTTTAGTTCATTTTAAAACTATTTTTTTTTGAAAAAGAAAATAAGACCGCAAATTTTGAAAATGAAATAATCTTTATAGCGTAGGATGTAAAAGCCATTTGGATTTTATACTAAAATTATTGAACTGTTTTATCAACCATTAAGAATATATGTATAAAATCCATTAGGTAACACTCAATTTTAGATCCTATTTTTTTATTTATTTTTTACAAACGAGTGATAAATCCTTTACATAAAGTATAAAGTAATGTAAAGATATAACTTTTGACTGTAGTATAAAATTTTTTATAACAAATTTAGAGTATGTTGATGAAATTATTAATTTTTATTTTTAATATGTATTCACCCCCTTCCCTAAAGAAAATATTACTCCCATTGGACAAATAAATATATTGATTACACAGCCACACAAAAAAAAGTGCCCGGGTTGGGAGATCACAGTACCCTACCCCCATGTATTTTGGGCCGCTGAACACGAATCTGAAGTCCGTTTTGCTCCTGCACGTGTACATTTCTTCCTAACCTCAAAAAACATTTCACATTTTTGGTGGTATACGATTTTTTTATAAAATTGATGGCTTTACATGAAACTGGGTATTTAGGGATTTTTGAGATCGCTCATTACGAATCTCAAGTTAGCTTTTCAAAATTCAAAATGGCGGATCTAATATGAAAGACGAAAAAATAAAAATAATTTGGATCGACATGAAAATTTTTACTCGGGGGTTTTCGGGGTCGCTGATTAAGAATCTGAAGTCAGTTTTTCTAAATTCAAAATGGCGGATTCAATA